TTTTACAAATGTACTCTTCAACTTTTTAATATTTGAATATATTAGGTCAAAAAGTATAACTAAGCACAAACAGAAGCAATAGTGAATTTAAATGGAATAAGAAGTATTTTGACGAAAAAATTCCATTAAATTGTCATCATTGTGAGTATCGATTTAATGGAAAAAGTAGTCAGTTGATTTTTGTGAAATACTTGATTAGATCACAATAAGATGCAATGTATTAAGATGGCATCACTAGGATCTTTGTACATAAATGTATATGAAGATTTTTCGGTATTGGACAATCAGTATCATTTCAAAAAATTCATGGACCATTGTCCAAGAGTCGTACTCCTGGCTACGCCACTGCTCAGAAGTATCATCGCTATCTCTACTGCATATAATTTAATAATAGATTATAGAGAAAGCCGAAACAAATCTATATAAGCACTAATAGTATCAGTTTCTCAGGTTTTTTAATCTCCAAGTAACATCGTTTCATTTATTAACTGGGACAAGTAATCAATATTAAGTGATAGACGACCAAATAGTGGAACTCGTTCTGATAAAGTCATAAAGTGACTTTTCATTTTTATATTTCAATAAGTAGAAAAAAATGAAAAAAAGAAAGATCGTCAGAAGTTATTTCTGATGTTTCTTAAGTTTTGTTTTCTGTCTGCAATCAAAACGTCGAAAAAATGAAACGAATGCATTAGTTTTTTTCCAACTTTTGAAATTGTGCATGATTTGAAATAGAAAGAAAAGAAAAAAGAAACTTTTCGAGACTTCATGTTATTCTCATGTTCTTCTTCAATGCTGTCGATTTAAACATGCATTATGAGAACAAAAGCTTCTGTAAAAAAAAATAATTCTTCACTGTAACTGTAGTTGAGATATAAAATATTGCAATATTTTATAAACCGGCAAATTACGAACTAAATAGCTTAGAATAATTCATGATGACAACTAGTTTGTCACAAATGAAAAAATGAATTATTGTACGATGATTTGCATAGATGTTATATCATATTCAGATCGACTTGAAGAGTGGAAAGTTGGACACTCAAATTCTCGAGGTAGATATCGAAAAATCGATGTATATTGTAAACTTTCACATAGATGTCAACTATGAGCCACTCGTTCTACTTTCATTGCAAACTCAAGCCAACGCCGCTTGTTTAATGCAAGAATTTTCTTTCGTCTGATATTGTTCTCTTTTCTTGAGAGCAAATTTGATTTGAATAATGACGAAATGTAGGTGTTATAGAAGACTGTAATCGCAGTCTTCGCAAAAAAAAACAGATGTTTTCTCGTTTCATTTCTTCAATCGAAGTCGCACACTCTTAGTTTTACTTAGCATATCGTTGAAGTCAATTTTAAGTCAACATAAATCACATACATTGCTCTGTCTTTTAGAACATATCTAACTTCGTTGAACGTGACTCAAACAATAATAAATCGGACTTCATTGAAGAACTTGTAAGTCATTTTCACAAAACTTCATATCTTATTAGTTATATTTCAAAAAATGCGGTTTCTTTTTTATAACTATTTCAAAAGTAAATCTATTTAAGTATTGCTTCTTGAAGCCAAGCATGCAAGACACGAAAATATCCACATCAATTTGATCTATACTAGAAAGAAAAATCGCTGAAATTATGCTGTAAATAGTATTTTTCATGAAATTCAACACAAAAGACTTGAATCAATCCGATAAGATCGATGGTAGCATAGTTGTAGAATCATCAGAAACGGAGCTGCCACAATGCCCTACTGCTGGACATACCACTAGGTCATCTTTTATGTTAGACCAGGTTTAAGTTGTTAATCTAAAGCTTACGTTTTGAAAATCAAATGTGGATGCATTATCTAATTATTCAAGAGTACTAGGACAAATACTTGAACCGAACGTTAATTTACTGTTGTAGGACTTATATTAGATGATAGTAGAAATTGTTTAGATTCAAAACAATTGAAGAGTAAACTTTCCGCTCGTATTGTCCCGCCAATGAACTGTTTAATGTAAATGTCCTTGTCTGTTATTATAGGTACTACCGATGTCTTGCATTTTGTTGTACATTTTCTTTCACCTTGTCCTTGTATGGTTAATCATATGTTGCTTTTTTGCTATCATGATTATGCCAAAAAGTACTGATAGGATTTTTGAAAAATTATGTTAATTCGAGTCTCTCTTGCATAAAAAGTGTTTATGATGCTGGTCTCTTCGGTTTAATTTGCTACTTTGGGCGAGAACTTATTATTATCTTTTCTTTTTTGGAACTAAATTAAGTGAACAATTGAAACTAGACTCAATTCTATAAAATCATCATTAATTTCATGATCTTTAACTGTACATACAATGCAGTGTAGGAAATTTCAATACAAAATCATTTTTCTTATTTAGTACTGATGTCAATAGACACGACGACCTGTAAAAACGATTTATTTTTTTCTCTTTTCATACAAATATTGGCAAAATCTTAGATTAATTGCTATCTTTGTAGTCTTACTATGGATAGAAGTGTACCAAGCAAGAAAATATGCAAAAAATCGTACGACCACCATTAATTTTAAGAAATAAACGGGTGTCATGACTAATTTTGACGTTAAAAATAGCTATGCTTTGTTTTAATATTGAATTTAATGTTGTTTTCACATCAAAAAGTTCCTTGCGTTTTATAAAAGCCTTGTTGATGTGCTAAAATGAGGTCTCTTTCATTGTTTCGCGCAAAAATTCTGAAAATTCCAGGAAAAACTCATCACTTTTAGAAAACAAAAGCTTAAAATGTTGAACTCCTATATCTCTAATACATAGTCATATAAGAAATTAATCTAAACAGATGTTTGCTCAAAAATCGATCTAATTGATGATCTTCATTGAATCAATTCTTGATCAGAATACGACCGTGACATTATATTGAAAGACTATTTTCTGAATTGACTCCTGAATACTTTTTCTTTGAGAATGCATAGTAACACATAGTTTCTTAGTCCACTTATCATTTATATGATGTACTTGTGAATGTTTTCTGAAATAGGAAATGAGTGCACAAGATGCAGAACTTACGAGAAAAAACCGCTTTGTGAACAAGGATGTCACAGATTTTCAAGATGCAAATGCCAGTCCAATAGAAGGCTACGAATTATTAACTATTTCGACATTAGAAGAAGCTGTCCAAAGAATCATTTCAATCGTTCCTAAACTCTTAGATTATGTTACTGCTGCTAAAAAAAATTGCAAACGAGACTCAACTATATTAACAATAGATGAATCCGCCTCAATTTACCTTTATACAATGGGAACAGGTTTCTATAGTAGCCTCAATCGTGCACTTCGAGTAAAAGACCGACATGAACTGAAACCGTGGTTCGGCTTCTTAAAACTTTTCATAACTGCTCTGAATAAATTACCATCTGTTCAAACAATCGTCTGGAGAGGTGTTAATACTAATGTCACTTTCGATTTCATTGAGGATGAATTACAAACTTGGTGGAGTGTGAATTCTTGTTCGAAATGTATCGACATCATCCAACCATATCTAAGTGAAACGGGTACTATATTCAACATTCAAGTGATTAATGGTAAAGATGTTCATACCTATTCGGCATTTGAAGTTGAGGATGAAATTATTCTTGTTCCTGGTACACGTTTACGTGTCAAATCTAAACCATTAAACTACAATAACAGTCTATTTATTGTTCAATTGGAAGAGGAAAAAGCTGAACTTGTGCCAAAGATCCAAAGGTTAGTCTATTTAAAAAGTTCTATGAAGTGTGATGAATTGACAAATAGATAAGGAAGCTCTTTACAGATTGCCGTTCATTACTACTATCGTCGCCAAAATACAATAAACGCGAATGTTTTTTAAATAACTCGAGAACGAAAGCAGCTAGCGAGCTACGGTTTTTACCATTCGAAAGAGAAATGTGAGGAAAGTAAAGACAATTCAAAATTTGATTGGTTCTCAATTGACCAATCAGGTGAGTGCCTGTTCGAGATTTTGAACATTGCTTTTGGAAGGCTTTTTCCATTTGTTTCTGGACTGCAATAAGACAAAGCCAAACTTTCTAACACACTCCGTTAAAGAGTTATAAGGTTTTTCCTGAGACTCCGATTTCGGCTGATTGAGGTTGGATAACCCGAGAATAAGTTCTCAGAGGGGTAACCGATCATGCTGAGTCGAGTGGTGATATTTATTTTGGGTTTCAAAGTGATCTGAAATCACAATCGCAAAATTTTCGAAATTTCGGCTCTT